CAACGCCCTCGAACTCGCGGCCTAGTAGTGCCCACACCTGGGTTTCCAAGACCCCAAACAACCCAACAGAAGCCTCCTTGCAGTCCACCCTCATCAAGAATCGAATTGCCCAGCATCAAAATAGCTCTCCAACTGAGATTTTGAGGGTGGTTAACATATTTGCGAAAGGGACGTCTAAGGTCATGCATCAGTTGGCATTGCTAAGGGCAGAGAACCAATGCCTCCGAGCCGCAAATGAGGCACTCAGCAAGCGCCGGAGGGCCAAAAAACAATGACTCCGACAAGGAGGATCGCTTACTATACAAGATGCACAGGATTTGCAAGGCCAGAGAGATATTGAGGTGCAGATAAAGGAGGAAATGCAGGCGGGTAGTGGTCGGAAACCAAAGACTGAGACGCGAGCGCGGCGTTGTGGCAAGTGCGGCGAGCCCGGGCATAATGCGCGCACTTGTCGGGTAGGTATAGAAACGTCCGAAGAAGGCGAGTCTGAGTAGTTTCAATTGTTTTGAGCGATTGTAGGGGAATAAACGAAGATTTAGTTGCGAAGGTGCGATTCTGTGGAGCATTCGCCCGTGTGGAGCGTTCGCATGTGGAGTACGTTAGTCCTTTTAGTCTCCACTAACGCTGCGACCCTACTGCGACTATCTAAGCGCCGTGGCTCCTCGACAACCTAAGGTACTTTAGGGTGCGCAGCAAGGGATCCTTTTTGCCAAGTGGTGTCCTGCCGCGCTATTAAAGAGAGGATCTTCCACTTCCTACCTGCCTACATTCCCAATCCCCAAGATTCGGTTGTCCTCCGCACTCAGCACTATCGCCAAGCTTTAGGACTGCAATCTCCTTTTCACCTTCGTGTAGAAGTCATGAATCACGATGCTGAGTTCGTACGGCGCTTTACACAGCAAGAAGCCCAGAAAAGGGCCACAAAACGACCAGCGGCCCTCACAGCCAAGCAGCGTGCAACTCTGCGCAAGCAGCTCAAGGACACCCAGCTCCTAAAGCCCAACTATGCCGACAGCACCAAAAGCAACATCTCCGGATTGTTGCGAAAATGGAAGAGGTATTGAATTAATTTACTTCGGCCCAGCTAGCAATATCGCTAATAACTATAAAAGCTACTGCAAAGCTGCCGAGAGGTCAGGAACCTGGCAAGATGTAATCAAGGAAGTAGACCGAGATACGGTAATGGATTTCCTTGAATACCTATGTCAAACTGGCAAAATCCAGTCTCAAGGGACTTCGTGGGAATACTTCCGCCAATTTAAGCAGCTATATGCAACTGTCACTCGCCGTGATATGGTTAAGCAAGACACCAGGGAGATCAAGAAGGTGCGTCTCTACTAGTGGCTTTCTATATATTGTTCATCTACTAATCTACCTTAATACAGTGGCACGATACTGTCTTAGTACGTCGTTATAAGTTACGGGCGCCCTGCATCCATGGCAAGGACGTTGCCGACTCGAATACCTTGCTGGTTATGTTGACCTTCAACATCAAATACGATACTGGCGTCTTCCCCAACGAGAGACATCGTGTCCAGCTATTGGGGTGCAACCAAGGTCTCGCGTTCACGGGGGCTCGACCAGCTGAGTTTGTTGATGGCGAGAAAAAGAGCAGAAAAGACGGGTGCCTGGACGAAATTTTCCCCTGCGAGGCTATCGGTGGGCACTCCAACAACGAGGATGAGGGAATTGATGAGGACTCTAGGCTTCTGGAGAACCTGATCTTACAGGAAACTGCAAACCGCGGACGTCCAAAAGCGCTTTGCTATGAGGATATCCTACTTATGGTCGTGAAGCACCCGGAGACTGGAGAGGACGTTCTAGCCATGTCTATCAAGTTTATACATCACAAAGGTGCAGACAACAAACCGAAGCCGTAAGTAAGCCCCACGTCTGTTAGCGTCTCGAACCTAACGTTATCTCCTTTAGGACCATCTTCTTTTTCACTCCTACAAGGAGGTTGATCTTCTGTTTCATTACTGTCATCGTTAGCCTGGCTGTATACGATGGTGCGTTTGCTGCGTCGAAGTTCACAAGCGTTAGAGAAGTATTTCAGGCCAAAAACCGGGGACCAGTAAAATGCACGCCCTTCCGCTGGAAAGAAGAATGGCTTAAGCGGCCCGTTTTCCGCCAATTCGATGACTCCGTTTTGGAAGGTGGACTCGAAGACCCCAGTTGCCCCCAATATCAGCCACTTCCCTACCACAAGCTAAGAGACGACATGGCACGCCAATCGCTTGATGCTGGATTTGAGAAGGCAATCGAACCAAAGGCCTGGCGTAGAGGAGCGGCAAATGCAGCCAACGGTACGTCTAACATTGTACCTCCAGTGAAAGCTCCCCCTAACAGTAGTAACAGGCAACGCCTCTGATGCCGTCCGCGATCAGATGATGCGCCATGACCCCAGGTGGGCTACCTTCAACAGTGCATACATCAATGAGAAGGTCAGCTTCCACCTCCAAAACGCATTCCTGGCCGAGCCGACCGAGGATAGCCTTCTTGCAATGCTCTCGCACATAGGCCATATGCGCGACCCTCGTGCGCGCAAGGATATGGTCCCCGATGAGGTCTGGGAGATGTTGCCACCCGATCCAGAGATTGTCGCGCTAGAGACCGAGAGGGCGCGACTCAAGGGCGGCCAATACCGGATCAAAGGGACAGAAAACGAGGAACGGGTACGGGAACTCACTAGATTAATCGCCACTAAGGAGGCACAGCGGAAGAATGCCTTCCGGCGAGCTTACCGGGAAAATTACTTTCACCACCGCCCGACCTGGGACATGGAAGCTAACGGAGACGAGGAAGAGGATGAATACGTCGAGCCTGCTATCGACCTACATATACCCGAGCGCGCCCAGCTCGCGAAGATCCTCTGTAGCCAACCGGACAATCTCACTTCCGCGGAGCTACTCGAACTCCGTATCAAAGCGGCTGAGCTAATGGTTACCCTATGCAGCAAACGGGAGACTGTGAAGCGAAACCGCGTCCAATCAAGGGCGCGGATGGACTTTGCCGTAAAGGAATCGTCTCCTAAGTTGGACCCCTTTCCCCTTCTACTGGACAAGAAGCAATGCCCACGCTGTATCGGGGACGAGACCCTATCCTATGAGGAAAGGACGTTTAAGTATTGTCGGCCTGCAGTGATGTACGACCACTTCAATAGGAATCATGCGAGGCAACTGGACAGCGCGAAGCAGATACTGTGTAATCACCCTAAGTGTAGAAGGGAGGGTCTCGAGTTCAAACACTTGGACCATTTCAAGAATCACATAGAGAGGGTCCATGGTGTTAGGCTGCGGGGGTGTAGGCTGCGGGGGTGAATGGGGTCATCTGCTTAGGGAACTGGGAGCAGCGAGCCCTCAGGGGACCCAGTGATCGTATATAGCATAGTTAGTTGTTTCAGAAGTTGTATATTGACGGTACACGAGGGGACGGAGCAGGTTTGGGGATCTGTATGATCTAAAATATCGTGGACCGGCTCTTTCTTTGGTTTGATGGCTTCACTTACGTACGAAGGTAGAAATTATGAACAAACTGAAATTTCTCAACTAAGACGAACTCGATTCATCGTGGTCTGGTTAGGAAATGTCAAGCCGAAAGAGAGAAGAACCTCACCGAAGTGTGCCGGCAACGCAATCGCTGGAGACATACTGTGCCTGCACCTCTGCAACACCTAGCCTTTTGTATCCCCCGCCCGCTGCTTTCTCCTGAATAACAAGAACGTGGTAAGTCTTCCAAGCGTCTTCCTTCTCGTCCTGAAGCATGCTAACAACAACACAGTTACAATCTTCGAGCCGTGGCTGATCTGCTGTATCAAACCATAAAGAGCCTACTTGCTCCGTGCCGTGGACAATAGCATGTATTTCCCCTTTGTCTTCCATCCGGCAATTTCCACCAAACTTCCTCACTTGGACGTTCAGCGCCTTTCCCTCGTCGGTAAAGTCAAGGTCCTCGAGGCGGGCAACCTTTAGACGCCTCCTCGCTTCGCAGATAAAACTGATGCCTCCGGGATATGCCATCCAAGACCACGACGGTACAAATCTCTTGTAGTCGATTTGGGGTGTCTTGTTCTCAGTAGTTCGCCTCCACAGGAGAAGGTGACCAAAGAAGCAACGGAAGATGCCGTATCTGCCGTCAGTCCCTAGTACTTGTCCCATATGCTTGACCAGGCTGTGAATCGCAACATCCCTGTCGGTTGCATAGCTAAGGCCGGATGTTGAATATCTCTCAAAGAGGAATTGGATGAACTCGACGGTTCGTATATACCCGCTCTCGCGGAGTCTACTCGGAAAGCTGGGATCGAGGATGAAGTATTTTTTTCCATATGGCCTAGAGAGAGATGAGACTTCGTAGCACACGTGATGTTTAATTCTGTGGACTTACGGGGTCAGTTTTGTCAGCTGTTCACACAGCACTCCGTCTCCACACTCGCAGTATGTGTGCGCCGCGGTAAAATGGATGATCCGACGGGAAAGCACCCGTTCCTGTAGTACCCAAGCCCTCTTCATAAGGGCACCCTCATCTACATCTTTGTCGAAATCACACGTATACCCAGTCGGTGTGCTTGGAGTGCCTTGTGCTCCAATGTCCGGAGGATCCGACTGTAACTCCAGGAACCCATCTCCCCAGCCAGTTGCTGAACTCGCGGCAATGGTGCAGTAGGCGCCGGCAAAGATATCTGCCATGACCTTAGCTTCGCTCTCCCAATCGCAGTCGGGTCCCTCCTGTATGATACAGAGAGCGTCGATCCAGAGGTACTGCTTCTGCAACGCTCGAGTCACCAGAACTGCGTCTTGAAATGTCTTCGGCAGCTCGTCGTAGCTGAAGCCCCGTTTCCGAGGTCCGTAGTTTTCGCTGGTAGTGCAGAACTGGTTCTTCTCTTCTGCCGTTGGGCGGCCCCAGCAGTGCGAGAGCACAAGGTAGTCCTCCTCCCCACCTCGCCCTTCAACGAGAGTCAATTTTTGGGGGTCACCAACGTATATAACCCTCTTCGGCCAAAACTTTGGTCGTTGGTTGCACTTGGGGTGATTTTTAAAGCAGTTTTGAAGCCACTTGCGCAATAAGGGGGAGATTGGCGGGTTGTTCCTTGAGAGGAATGAGACGGCATCATCGGGGGCATGTCGTCGTAATTCTCGGCTTACTTCCGCGGCGAAATCACCACTTACAGGCTACACCACCACACACACCAAGGTCAGCAATCATCACCATCCCATCCATTTCAGAGGCATCCACTTACCCGCTACACCACCACACACACCAAGGTCAGCAATCATCACCATCTCAT